GCATCATGCATAGAAATTGAGGCATAAATAGATCAAGTGATTTATTTAGGGATGACTGACAGAGCTAAAAGTAGGCTTCAGGACTTCACGCTCCTAAGCGATGCTTAGTTTGCTGTATTTGCTAGTCTCTGACTGCAAAAAAAGAGCTTTTATTTTTCATGAGGTCTCTAGATAAACTAGTATCAGGGACCCTGCTTTCATTAGCAATAACGGTTGTTCCTAGGATTCAGAACAGTGAATCGTTTACTTTGTCATGGGAATAATGTGGGCTATTACACATTATTATAAATTGGAAAACATCTCCTTAAGAGATTTGAATGTTTCTGCAGATGCTTCGCATTTCTTATGTTCATCATATAATTCATATTTCTTTGGGGAAATAACTATTTTTCATTAAGTGTGTGTCTTTCTAATGCAGTTGAGCTAAGGAACCAGGTGACCTAGCAGCAGTGCAGTAACAAAGACATATTATAAAAAATGCAAAAGCTTGAGAAGCGGTGAAACTTCAACTGTGCTGATTGCATTAATTTCCACTGGAGAGCAGTAGAGGTTTGCGCAGTGTTTTCTCTCATCTAGACTGATTCTAAGACAGTAACTATTCTTTAAATGCAAGTGATGCATTGTTTTTACATACCCATGCTGATGGGTCTGCACATGAATGACAGAGGAAAAGACTTCAGTCCAATATATTGGAGACACACTTGATTTTTGTTTAGCCACCATCCTCCTAAGCTAATATTTAACATCAAGAGGCCAGGACATATGCCGTTAAAGTACAACATTTATTTGTAAACGTGATAAAAGGAAAGAAAAACAGTTTGCCATTAATTATGACCAAAACAGTATATTTTTTAGCTAAAATACTGTTTTATGGCATGATGTGTATTTTCTTCCTCACATGTCCCCAAGTGAAATTTTCATTTTAGATTACAGGAAATCATCCCTATTAAAAAGATGATTGCTTCATCTTTCTCTTTAGTGGTTGTCCACAGAGAGAAAAGCTGCCATTTCTGTATGTTTGCCTGCTGTGTGCCATGGTTTACAGTTGTTGTTTGCTGCAGGAGCTTAAAGGAAGCTGTCTTTCAGTCTTTCTCTCTCCCTTTGTACTCTGGTTCAGCACTTGCCTCAGTTGTTTGTATTGCAGATGACACTGAGAGCCTTTTGAGGGGGGAGTTACTGGCTTGTGTTTTTTTACGGAGCCTGAATAAATCTTGTAGGAAGACTGCAAACAGTCAAAGTCGTGAGGTAACTCTGTTCTGATCTCAGGGCAAAATTGGTAGGCCATATCTAATTGCAGTGGAGTTTCAACCTAGACCTCAGCACGATATTTGTAAGTAATGTTTACTGAATAACATGACGACAGCTCCAAACAACTTCAGAAGATTATGAGGATACAAAATACCAGTCATCTTGAACTGTAGCAAAGATTCTTTGCTCTACGCAGGGTTTTATAGTTATTGCCATCATACTGGGCAAACTGCACAAATACATTAGCTCAAAAGACGTACATTCTGATAGCAAAAATGGGTCAAGGTGTCTGCTGACAGCCTTCAAGGGAAGGGGTCTCTGAGGACATTCTATTTTTATCCTGTTTCCATTAGCAAAATTGATAGGTGTGGTTTTCTTTCACACAGCCGGAGCCAGTCCATCACTGAAATGAGCAAGCTGCTGTCACTAAGGTTGCAGTCAGACTGACGAGCACAAGAGAGCTGTTTGTGCTCATGTTAAGTCACCTGAAGGGTTTCTCACCTGGATAAATGAAATATTTAAAAAACACGAACATGAGAAAAATTACCTGGGGGGCAAGTTTCAAGTGGTATTATAATAAAGATGTATTTTTTTTACAGTCTTAACATTCAGATCATGTTTTATAATGTACACGTTGCAGTCAGCGTGAGATCAGATATTTGGGGATGGATTAAAAATAGCACAAGTTCGGGACGTATATCCCTGTTGCTTACCAGGAGATTAAGGAACCTCAATGGCCTGCCACTTTAGTAAACTAATCAAGCGTACGAAAGAGCACAAAATAAATCTGATATTATTGTCTCTGCTGCTTGAAAGTAGTGGCTGTCTGTGGTGTCTTCTAGAGTAAAACACAATTCATACTCTTGGGGAAAGAACGGCCTGAAAAAGAAATTAGTTTTCTGGATAATAAGGAAAGTTATATTTCCCATCCCTAGAAATAACAGTTTATTTGAAAGTAAACGGATCTGCAATATACCAAGGAAGGAAATTAGGCCTTGAATCAGTTTGGGATGAGAGGAGCTTAACTGGGACTTTACCCAGAGGAAGAAATTTTGTAAAGCTTAGCAGCTCTATAGTGCTTTGTTTCTTAAAGGGCAATAGAAATCAAACCAAATCCAGATGAAGGATCATGGTTAAAATAAGCATAGCAGTATCATAGCAATACCATAGCATATCATAGCTAAATGAAGACCAGTATAGCTATAAACAGCAAAACAGGGCAGACCTACCTGCCTGGCTGTAAGGAGCAAGAGACGCACAGCAAAAATGGCAGTCCAGATGAGAACTGCCCAAATGCTCTGAGTGCTACAGGTGTAGGTTGGTAGCTGAGATCTTTATAAAGTTGGGGCCAAACTACAAAGCTAGAAGACATATTTAAATTCCCCTGAAATTTAGAGACATTCACAGTCAGTCATTCGCCTCGGGCCTATTTTAAAAATCTCTGCCACTGTTAGGTAATGTATAAATGGCCTAAACTCAATCATTACACTTGGTTTATTCACCAGAGACTTTGAAGATCTTTCCTTTCTCTTCCTGTGATCAGACCCTTTTTAGGAAATTACATCTAGACTGTCTAGAACCTTGTAGTTCACGTAAATATGTTATTTCCAATGTAATTTTGTAATTTTGGCAGAAATTTCAACCAGGAAAAAAATGCTCATTTATACATTAAAGTAGTAAATAAGCATACTTCGGTGGTGTTTTATGTACTGCATAACGCACAACATGCTGTGCTAATCATGGTTTAATCTCAAAAGTGACAAAGATGACCCTTATTTAATGAGGTTAAAAGGCTTGGCAAAGACCATGCAGCAAACCTATGGTAAAGCTGCAAACAGTGCTAGCCCAGCTTATGGCAAGTCCTAAGCTTTAATCATTAAATGACATAGTTTTAGCAAGACTATAAAAAGATGTCCTATTGCTGCTTTTAACTGTTTATTTTTTTCTAAACATCCTGTTTCTGGAGACCTTTTTCTATTTTTAAGTATCATTTTACCTTAGTAAGGATTACAGGATGAGGCTTTGTATTAGAATTCTGAAATATCTTAAATAAAGAGGTATTAAAATAACAGACTATTGCAGAGGGATATCAGGAAAATATTCATTCTAAATTCTGAATACTCATTCTAAAATTCTAAGTCCAAAATAACTTTATGGGGGACCTGCCAGAACATATGTGTATTAGGTATTATATATTGTATGTTATATAATTGATGCTTATGTCAGGCATCTATATCTATATAAAATACATTATTTTCCAGGTATCATCATAGGAGGATGTGCTGGATTTTCCTAGCTTTCTGGAATTTAAAAAAAAATCTTTCAATAAATCAGGAAGCTAGGAAAATCCAGCACATCCTCCTATGATGATAACTGGAAAAAGACATTTGAATGCTAACGAACAGGTTGTATGAAAAGATGCTTGTGTCAGATCTGGATTCTCCCACGAGAACTAAAAGTAAGGACAGGGATTTGTAACGGACTGTAGCAGAGGAAAGAAGGATTCCCAAATAAAAAAACAGGTGTTTAAGTTCAGTTTACTGGGTAAAGAAAAATCCTTTAATAGCGGAGTTATCAACATTTTCAGATAAGGAATGAAATCCTTTAAAAGGGAATTTCCTGGCATCCCGGCTTCAGATAAATCAGAAAACAGAAAATCGATCGATGATGGTATAAAACAACAGAAACATTTTGAATTTACGAAAGAGGATGAAACGTTTTAGGATCCCAAATACGGTGAACGGGCAGAGGGGGGAAGGGAAATGAAAAAAAAAAAAGGCCAGGCCATCAAGGGGAAACAAAAAGGAAACGCGAAATCAAATCCCATTAGTGGATGACGAGGTGAAGGTGCCAGGTTCATATAAAAGAAAAGGTGCTGGGCAGGGTGCTGGGGCCGCGCGGCCGCTCCCGGAGGAGCGGGGCCGACCGCTAACACCGCCTG